TTTTTTTTTTTTTTCTTTTTTTGTTTTTTCCCTCTATGACAATTTTGGTATATATAGGATTACAAGCAAATAGAATAGATTTGTTTCTATTAAAATTGCCAACTTGTTGTAAATCTTGTTGCTTGCTTGTTATATCCCCGTTGTTTTTGCATAACTCGACCTTTTCTTTTCTTACTATGCTAATTCCTAATGGTTTATTTGTTTATTGATTGTAAATGCATGCATCCATAAACTAGCTAATTATTGCCTTTGTTAATCTAGCTAAAACTGTGAACTATCATCTGAAAATGTAATTAAGAATCACTTCCAATATCTTACTTTCCCCCATAACGTACGTATGTTACGTAAACGAGTGAGGAAAACGCATTTCAAATAATAAAATACCGTACTATAATAATAGAATTAACTCGAATGTAGACTTTAAGATTGTGGAAAAACAATAATCCATTACATAAAAATGAATTAAATATACAGAATTGATATATATGGTCCTGATAGCAACGCTAAATTTCAGTGGCAACCGGCAGAACTTGGACAAAAGGCTTTAGCCAAGTAATATATGGAGTATAAGTCAAAGAAGTTCTAACTAAGAAAGAACGATTTTCAGAATAGTTGGGATGAAATAATTCAAAATATCTCCACAAATAAGTAGTGATATATAATGTTATACATTGTTGTTAGAAAGTATGAGTTTTTTCTGGTAACACAGCCTCAATAAAATTCAAATTTTCATACTACGACCTTGTTTGTTGTAAAGGGTTATATAACATCCAATTCATAACAATGAATAGATACAAAGTCTTTCTAGACCTCTTTATATGCCCTCATATATCCGATTATACAACGTAAGTCATACATGTAACGTAATATAGCTATTGTGGTACATTCTTCTTTCCCTTCGCGTTACATGATTTGAAGCGCACACGATGATATGAACTTGAATACACATTCAAGACTGTGAGTTTGAATTTATTAAATATTTCCACTGAATTTAAAAATACGTTCACACTCAAAAATTTAAGGTAATGCATAAGATGGTCATAACCGAGGGGAGCTACCATTCTGAATATGGATTTAGCAGCTTCAGCTCAAACTCTGTATTTGTATTAAAAATCTACTTGATATGCATATATAATTTTTTCAGAACCCAATAAACTATTTTTTCTAAAATTAAAAACTCATAAACTTAAAATCTTATTCCGCCTATAATCATATGCCTTTATAAACTATATATAACCCCGTGCTGTATTAGATCAAACAAACAAAAAAGGAAAAGAATTGGCCGGTGAGGTGAGTTGGGGGTTTGGAGAAGAGTAGTTGTGATTGAATAGATCGTATTAGTATAATACTTGGTCAGTTGTAGTATAGTGAGTGGGCAAGGTGGCAGTACATTGGATTCTCTGAGCAAGTGTAAATGGGACATTGGCCTTTGCAAACTCTGAAAAACACAGCTGTGAAAAAAACAATCCTCCTATATCCATTGTGAAAAGCCACAGGTTTTGAATAAAATGATCAAAAATGCTGATGCAATGATGTTTTAAATTGAAGGAAATACTATAGTTATTTATTGTCAGAGTTCAGACGGTGTTGTTTGGCTGCATCCTTTTACGAGCATTTTAGTATGCTGCCACTAAGGGGAATAAATATTGAAATACTTAAAAGAAAAGGAGACTACCGTGGTCACTGTTTGTTTATTGTGTCATTTTCACTGTTCTTGAGCCAAGGTAACTGTTTGTTTAGCCTCTCTTTCTGCGTACACATTACCCGGTTTGTTATCGTAGTTGTAAAAAGAGACTACAGTGAGGGGGAAAAGAGCTCTCGATACTCTATCCATAGTAGCATTCAGCTAACCTTTTTGTCTGCTAATCCCGTATTCGTACTTTTGAAAATGCCATACACCCCCTAAACAAGCATACCTGCAACTGCTGCCTTTAATATTGGCGAAAACAGTAGGCATGGAACATCTCACCACACTCTATACTAAAAGCTCAATTTTAAAATTATGAACTCTATTTTGAAATAAATACAGAAATAGGCTTGATGAAGTTTAGGGAAAATGCATACAACCCAGAAACAAGCATACCTGCACCTGCTCCCTAATGGTTCACAGTCTACAAAGTAAAACATCCTTGTGTATGTGTACGAAGGAGACATATCAACTCATTGCTGTCTATATTAAAAGAATTATAGAACTCTTTTCCTCTTGCTTCCTTTATCTCCTTACCAATCAATTTGCCTGTTCAGAACCAGTTATACAGTAGTTCAATGGTACCATACCCTGCCAATGTGAAGCTCTACCGAGTACCAAGATAGGACGACAACTGAACAATGAGATGAACTAGGGAACAATGACGTAAAATGGTGGTTGGAATGTCTAAGAGTGAAAACAAGTCAAGCTAGGGGAAAAAATTCAAGCTGAAAACACCGTTCAATGGTGCTATACTCAAATTTATTACCATCTAAGATGGAACGTGTAGAAAAGATACACCAGCCCAATGATTACAGTTAGAGAAAGAAAACATTAACAAAGAAAAGCAATTTCCTACATTTAAGATAAAACCATTTCAGTTACTATGCATGATGAAGCCCAATGATTTTACTATTACAATTATTTGCTGTAGTTATAGCTTTATCCCTTGTGCATATGAGAAGGCGATCAAAAAATATGCAAACGCAGCCCTCATGGAAGTGTAGCTCTGACTTCTTTCCTATCTGCTCCACATGCCTGGGAAAAGAACAAACACTGATAAGTTGACGTCACCCAAAACATTCTATACCAGTGTACTTCGCCCAGAAAAGAATTGCTCCTTAACGAGACATTTATGTTGTAGGTAGTTGTCCCATTCATTATTTGAATAATTATATTGTTTACAACAACAACAACAACCCAATATAATCCCACTAGTGGGGTCTGGGGAAGGTAGTGTGTACGCAGACCTTACCCCTACCCTGGGGTAGAGAGACTGTTTCCAATAGACCCTCGGCATCCTTCACTCCAAGAACTCCCCACCTTGCTCTTGGGGTGACTCGAACTCACAACCTCTTGGTTGGAAGTGGAGGGTGCTTACCATTATATTGTTTCAAGTTACATATTATGTAGTAATAACAATCAATAACTCCCTATAAAATCAGAACTGCCAAGAACTAAGTTACCTCGCCCAGGTTAAGTAATTAACTACTCATTGCCACAGTTCAACATCCAGGCTCATATCCTAAAGCTATCATACAAACACTTCCAATTCATTTTAAGGCAATACAGCAAAAAGCTCAGAAGAAATCACTTAACGGCTCATTCAACACATGCTACTGCAAATAACAAAGGTTAAGGAGTTACAGAACACTGAGCCAACATCTTAGACTGACCAAATAAAGCATAGTGGAGTCGAACCTGCTGCTATTTACGCTTGGCTAGGTTAGTTCTCTAAATAAAAAGTTCAGAAGCCTTCTGTTAGTTAATAGATTGATTAATAATAGCAAAGGCTTCTATGACTTAATTATTAGATAACCCTGGACCAGATTTTCTTTGCACTTCTCTCATGATAAAATACTATATAACATCCACTCATCTGCTTTTGTAAGTAATAATTAAACTCAGTTCAGAGCAACAACCACCATATCTATATCTAGTGAAAAGAGTGTAATGGAGGGATCCAGCCACATGATTTGATCCAGGTCCTCTGTGGAAGAAATCTCTTAACAAAATTCCAAATATCTCTTGCTGTTCAAGACAAAAATCCATTTGGCACCTGTTTAGTTGAACATTGTCTTATCTGCATCTGTCTAACTTATACACGGATAACATTACAAATAAAGCACCAAACAGATCCATAAAGAGCTATGAACAGCACATTTTCTGTGGGACTCCCAGTAAAACTTAGATGGATAATCCACATAAACATAGAGAGAGCTTCAAGCTTGAAGCATCTCCTATCTCCCATTCCATAAGACCTAGAATAGCAGTCCCAAATATCTGTGATTCTTCTTCGTCCCAGCATACCCTTCACGCCATTAACATTCCCCACAGAAACACACACACAAAAAAAAAAAAAAAAAAAACCAA